GGCAGGAGGATTGTTGTGAGTTCGAGGCCAACCTGGGAGACAAAGTGAGTTCAAAACCATCCTGAACTGCATGGTGAGACTCTGTCTCAAAAAGACAAAAAAAAAGACCAAAAACAAAACAAAACAATAAAAAAAGGACAAAAAGCGATATAAAAAAAAAACTCAGCCTGAATGTTGGGAGCCGCTGGAGTTGGTTGTTGGTCGTGTGTGAGGGTGGGACAGAGCCAGAGTGCCTCGGGCAGTCAAGCTACCTCAGTATTGAAAAAAGTATCCTGCTTGGTACCAGGAATCGAACTACAGTCTTAGTTTTAGTCACTAGGCAACATTATCTCTCATGATACTACTTTGCAAGTGTATAAAATAAATGCCTCTACTGTTGGGGTCAGTCCTCGTGCTCATCAGGCAAGAGGTAACTCCACGTGACCCTGGCTATTGTTTTTTGTTTTTTGTTTTTTTTTTTCCTGGCTATTGTTGCTTGTCTTTATTTTCCAAATCCTCTCACCATTTTCTCCTGGGGACCACTGAGAGACCACCAAGAAACCACCGACTCCCACATCTGAGCAATTTAGGGTGATGCTGTCTCAGAAAAAATAGCTAGGTATGGCAGCATACACCTGTAATTTTAGCACTCTAGAGGCGAGGCCAGAAGCATTACCTTGAGTTCCAGGCTACCCTGGGCTACATAGTGAGTTCAAGGCCAGCTGAACTACATAGTGAGACCCTGTCTCAAAAAAAAAACAAAAATAAATAAACACAGGCTGTAGATGCCGCTCAGGGCAAAGGCTCTCTGGATTCAAGTTCCAGTACTACCAAAGACTTTTTTAAAAGTTGCAGTTTTTTTGGAGATATACCTCAGTGGCACAGCGCCTGCCTGGCAAGCATGAGGTGGTGAGTTTGAGTCCCAGTATCAAAAAAAAGAAAAGTCGCAATCCTGGGCCAGGGATATAGCTCAGCAGCACAGCGCCTGCCTGGCAAGTGTGAGGTCCCAAGTTTGACTCCTGATACCAAAAATAAATAAATAAATAAATAAATGTTACAATTTCCAAAACCAATGGAAAGATAATTGACCTAATTTAGGTCTCCCGCCTTACTGACTTGATTTTTCTTCTCCTTCTCCTTCTTCTGTGTATATACTAGTGAGATAGGAGATTTGGGGGGGGGGTGCCAAAACTGGCTGGCAAAGTAGGTGTGACCTGTTGATTATAAAATCCCAGGACAAGCTGGGGATTTAGCTCAGCGGCACAGCGCCTGCCTGGCTGAGCGCAACGTCGTGAGTTCGATTCCTGGTACCGAAAAAATCAAA